AATCGAACTCGGGTCGCCGAGTTCGTAGTTGAGCGCGCTAACCGCTCGACTACCGCTCCCCCCACCCACACACGCACAAATATATACGATACACACACATGCAAAAGAAAACACACGCGCATGCACACGCAGAGCAACGTAGCCAGCCTGGCCAAACACATCACAGCAAGCAGAGCTGTCGCGTGTCACTACGACGCAACCAACCCCCCCTCCCCCCCCCGAGCAAAAACTCGGATAGAAATAAATTCACGAAACGCGCGTTGGCAGCAGTGTCAAATCTCACCACAGTTGTCGCAAACACTGCCTGTCAACTCAAACGTGTATTAGTGCGCCGACGTTTGTGGGCAGAGACTCCTGTTTCATGCCTGTATTGCACTGGCAAAAGCGGTCCGTTCCTTTATTTTGTCTCTGCAAAAAAAAATATATAGACGGGTTCGTTGCCTGAAACGTCAGCCAGTTCCAATTTGTTGTACTTCTGTTGTAACGCAGGCGTTAGCCACGAAAGCGGTGAGGTTTTTGTTGTCGTTGAGAATAACACGGGAAATGCGTGTCAGACCCGGTGGTTAAAGTGTAATTACAAATACAGCAAATATTAGTTAGATATGGGCAGCTTAGCAGGCTTGAGCCTGGATAGTGCTTGGATGGGCAACCACAACGCACAAACAGGGCAGCCACAGAGCTGTGGGGCTACTCAGCGTGAGCAGCAGAGGGCAGTGCAGCCAACTCCATTGTTGTACTCTACTCCCGACGCCCCCCTGGTCTACTATGATCCCCGCCTGTACCAACCAGTATCGGGACCGTCGGTGTGGAGGAGGCCCTTATCCTCATCAAGCAGTGGATTGACAAACGGAATGCACGTGTGAATGTTGGCCTAAAACAAACAATTGCACCGTTAGGTTAACTATGAATTACACGCTTAAATGTGTTAGTTACCCAAGGTATGATGTTTTTTTTGTACGCGTTCACATGAGCAGACATCAATGAAATTCCTCCCTCTGAAGTGCCAGCAATGAACACGAAGCCACAATCTAAAGTCACAACACAAACGACCCTTCGTGCTGTCACCGAATCCCGACAGCTAGCCAATGACCCAACAACTGCATTCCATACGGCCCGTGGGGCCTAAGCCACATCGAAACGGCCCGCATGCAACATTTGTCCATCCACTACAAAGCATCGTAAAAGCTGCACTAATCGGGGCCTAGAGGTGAATATTTTCCAACCTGGGCTAAAATAAATAATTCGAGCACCGGTCGTTTCTGTCACTGCGAAAAAAGCGACCGGGTTTGTGCGTTGTGGCCCTCCATTAGGGGGTATCTCAAAGTCCTATTTGACCCCCCCACCACCACAACTCCCCCAAGTACTAGCCAAAACCAAAAAGCAACATCGCCACCCACTGGCAGACGATACCCGTCTGTGAAACGTGGCACCTTCGCGATAGCCTTGCGCGCATTAAACTACGTTGCGAAGATTCAAATGTGACGACACTGGAGTAATTACCAAGAAAAAAGGGGGCTTTGCGAACCACCCCTCCTGACTGCCCGAAGCTTAACGCCAAACTGCCTCTCCGCTCTCCCTCTGGGTGCCGTGTGGAGGGGGCGAAGGCTGCTGCTGCTGGTGGTGGTGGGGGGCACGGGAGGTGTGAACGGATGTATCGTTTTGCTTCGCCAGGAGGACAATAAAAAGCCAAAGACGAAGCCACCTGCTTCGGGACCTCGACCTGCCGGGCCCACTTGGAGCAGCTGAATTGGGGGGGGGTGGGGGGGGGGTTAAGGCACGGGCGTTGGGGGGGGGGACGTCGGTGTGACGTTAAAAAAAACCAAAACAGCCGCGGGCAGCCCCGGCGGTCGGTGCAGTCAGGCCGGGTTCAGGAGCATGCGACCGCGTCCGTTTCAAAATAAAGTAGCGGTTAAGGAGCCCGGTGAAAATTAGCCACGACTGAACGATGCAACGACAAGGAGATGGATGATGAGGTTGACGAACGGTGTGGCAGGACAGAAGAGGAAGTAGAGAGGCAGGAGACCGAGGGTGGTGGAACGAGACGTGACGAGGATAGTGTGGACGTGGCTGACTCGAGAAAGAGTTGCACGATGGAATCACACGGGGAAAGAAAATAGAATCCCCCATGCAACAGTGGGACGTGTGGCTTAGAAGATGACCTCTTGACTAAAATGTCACGATGCAACTACGATTATCCCGTCTTAAAGGGTGAGCGCTCACACGCGCACACATCATCTGCCACGATCTATCCATTGTTGATGCCTTCCCAAAAACATCATCTCTCATGGTCCCGCGATGCAACGTCTCCTGCACGTGAGCTGACCGGTGATGAAGACTCATGGCAGAGTTACAACCAAAGGACGCAACAATGCACGCATGTATATAAAAGACAAGAACCCCCCCCCGCCCTCCCAGTGCTGCTAATCGATATAATCTACAGCACTATATTCAATACACAAATGCAATATAAAACAATGGCACACACACACACACCACTCCCGAGACGAAAACTAGACGAACATTAAAATGCAGGCCTCTCCTGAAAACGGACCCTGAGACTTGGCAGTTCGCATAAATGACATCATTATTTGGTTATACAAAGAGAGAAAAAAAAACCCAGAATGAATCCCAATGGGCTGTGGTGTCACCTGATTAAGGGACACTCAGACCGTGAAACGGGATCTGGGGCTGACCCACACAAAGCGGGGTTTGGGCACCGTCAATAAACCCAATACGTCGACGAATTACACCACCGTCGTCGACATCAAAAGCCCTTCTTCTGGCAACCACATCGTCTCTCTGATACGCGTATTACATCGCCATGTCCTCGTGTGTGTTGTGGTTAGGTGCCCGCTGACAGCACTTGCCCCGACAATATGTGAAGGCTATACGGGGGATCTTTGTCTTTGTAGTTGTTAACGCGCTGCGCTACGATACCCGGATAACCGATTCGATTCCCGCTCACGTCCAACGCCGGTGACGATTATTTGAACCGGTCCTGTGCCTCTCCAAGGTCGACTCGGCCTCAAATTTGAAGCTGGTGCGGTATGTAAACATTTCCACTAGGGAGACAAAGGCGGCCGGACGTGGTGTTGACCAACCCACCCCCTCGTGTGCCGTGCCAGCCTTCATAGGTGCTCGCTAACAACACTTGCCCCAACAGTCTGTTAAAGGTTTACATAACTACAGCTGGCGAGCGAAAACGTCGTGCTAGGCGCGTTGCGTTGTGAATTAAGCGGCGAGGCCCGAACGATCAATTCCCGGCCATGGCTCGACAGTAGGTGGCGATTATTCCCAATACATTCTGGGACCTCCCCCTCTAGGTCCACTCAGCCTTAAATGTGCACCTGGCGCGGTGTGTAAACAACATCGGCAATGGGTGGTGAGACAAAGGCGGCCGGGCATGGTTTTGCTGGTCCACACGTGCACCTCGTGCGCTGTAACCGGCCTGAATTGGTGTTGCTACTCGCCAACATCGCTCGCACCAACGGGTTGTGGTGGGTGCGTGGAGAGGCCTTCGTCCAGCAGTGGATTGAACATGGCTATACGATAACGAAGTGCAGCGGCGTCTTACGCGTACGCGGGTGACAAAACACTCCTCGGACGTGATTGCGTATTTGAGCAAAAACGCCCATGGTCAGCCGTGATCATGATCCACTGCTGGATGAAGGCCACCATCATCCCTCACGACCTCGCTGTGCATTAAACCCAACCCTGAGAATCTACAGATTTAATCATGTAACGCGTAGATTCAAAATAATATATAACACCTAAAAGTACTCTTGTAAGTGCTTTAGTAGTTTTTTTTTGGTCTGCAATACATATACAACGAGAGGTGTCCGTCGCTAGGGTTTGAACTTTCAAAGAGTTAAAATTTCAAAGTGCGGTTACATTTATAATTTAAACAAAAGTCTGCCCCCGTCACATCACGGCCACTCAGTGGCAGTACACATCACACGATCAATTTACATGCAAATTGAGCTCAGGCGAGACGGCTACTTTGTACCAGGTTCAGAAGCAAGGCAGAAACACCAAATAACACCCCCCCGCCGCCCCTCCACAAAACACAGGGGCCCAAATAAATAACACAATTTTAATTAATTTCCCCACTCTAGAATGTTTTAGATGCGTGTTTGTGCGAAAAAAAATATTGGAGTGTGTGAGACGGGGCTGTCTGTGTGTGTGTGGGGGGAGCGGTGGTGTAGTGGTTAGCGCGCCGCGCTACGAACCTGGCGACCCAAGGTTCGATTCTCGCTCACGGCCAACACCAGTGGCGATTATTTGAACCAGTCCTGGACCTCCCCTAGGTCGACTCAGCCTCAAACGAGTACCTGGTGCGGTATCTAAAAGGATCACCACCGCGGGAGACAAAGGCGGCCGGGCGTGGTGCTGGCCACCCACCCCCTCGTGTGCCGTGCCGGCCTTCATATGTGCTCGCTTACAGCACTCGCCCCAACAGTCTGTTAAAGGCTATACGGGGGATCTTTGTCTTTGTGCGAGGTCGTATGTGTGTAAGTGTATTGAGAAACTGCGTGTGATATAGTAGAAAGAAGCTGCATTGAACTCTGCTCATTGCTGTGTGCGTGTGTGTGCGTTCGATACTGAGTGTGTGTGCGATAAAACTGTGTGCGTGCGAGTCGGGGGGGGCTAAAACTTGTGGCGCATGCCTCTGTGTGTGACTGTTCACGTGCAAGAGACAGACTGTGCGAGTGAGCAAGGCAGACTGTGTGTGTGAGAGCCAGACCGAGTGAGACTGTGAGCCAGATTGTGCGTGTGCTTGTGCGAGCATGAAAGCGAAACTGTGTGAGCCGGACCGAGTGTGTGTGTATGAGAGCGCCTGCCCGAGTGTGTGGACACAGGCGCGAGACCGTGTGTGCATGCACAAGCGCACAAGATAGCAATTAAAATACCACTCGCAACAACCGAAACATAAATCCCCTAAACAAAAAAAACACCCCTTACGCGGCTGCACTGCGCGAGCCGACTAAGTGACTCCTCACCTGAGAAACGGAGTTGAAGGAGAATAACCACGAACTCTCTCCTCTCAATCTCCCTCCCTCCTCCTTCTCCTCCTCGGTGGTCACCGCGAGGAGCGGACGCAGCGCATTGGACGGCGAGTCACGTAAGTCTCCGGGCCGATGCCTCTTCTCGCAACGCCGATGCGCTGCTGCTGCTGCTGCGGCTGCTTGCTTCTTCTTCTGCTGCTGCTGCTCCCAGCACACGATGAGGAAGGAGGAGGAGCAGACGTTGGGGGGTGGTGGTGGGGGGGAGAGGAAGATCTCTCCCCTCTCTCACTCAGAAACTATCTCGCTGAACCTCCCCCCCCATCCACCGCCGAACCCCACAAAGCTCCCTCCTCGTTGTAACTGCTGCGGTGGCGGTGATGCTTGGCGGACTTCTCTCGCAGTTTAAAGCGATCGCGACATTCCACGGGATGAGGAGGTGAGGGTGGTGGGGTGGGGGGGCCCTCGCTCCCTGATCCTGCGCCGACAGTTCCAGGACGCACACAGAGCGAGGTTGTGGTGGTGGTGGTGGCCCCTTGACCGTACACACACACACACGTCGTGTGAGCTTCTGTGTCACGCTGGGGGGATGGGGGAGTCACACGTCAGACGGGACTCAGCGAGCGCCTCTCTCTCTCTCCACGTCGTCAGCCGCGGCACCGTGCAGCACCGCACGACGCCTCGCTCCTGCCCCCTCCTCTGCGTCTTCCCTTATCCCGTCTGCGGCGAGCGCGCTCAGCTTTGGCCAGCGGGAGCATCTCCGCGAGCGCTCTTATAGCGGGGGGGGGGGGTGTTTAAATAACCCCGATGGGGCCCGTGACTCGAGCCGCTGGCTTCCCATTGGCCTTCGACGAGGCCAAATGCTCCGCCTGTAGCGTTGGTGAAGAAAAAAGCCTCCCTCCCCCACCTCTCTCGTTCACCCTCACCCACCCACCCACCGCCGGCTTCCCCTCCCCTCCCTCCCTCCCTCCTCCTCCTGCTCCTCCTTCCCTCTCCGTCGCCTCCCTCTGGGTGTCCTCCACACACCAGCTGGCAACTCAGCTGTGCCTGCTGCTGCTGCTGCTGCTCTTGTGGATTGGCCTGAATGGCATGGATTCGGTCGAGTAGGCCACGCCCAGAACGCATATGCATAACACTGCTCTCATCATCTCTCTCGTCTCGCTGGCCCTTCCTCTCTCTGTGTGTGTGCCCTCCTCCACTTTCCACCATCAACAATACCTCCCCCACCACCACCACCTCCTCCTCCCTGCCCTGAACCCTATTCAAAGCCACGTACTGGCCAGTCTGTCAGTGTCTAGACTCTGATTTGCAAAAACACAATGACCACGGTGCCAAATATGTATATTGCACAGTGCCCACGTTTTTGTAAATTGTGGTTTGAGACAATGGGCTCCACTCTCCGCGCGTGTTACCTCTTTCTCTCCTGCCAAGTAGAAATAAACATCGCACACAAAACGGACACTGTCTAAAATCCACGCCTCCTCCTCGTCTTGGGTGACGGAATACACGCGATTGTTAGATGTTCTACTTTTTTTAAAAGCACACGTTGTCATAGAAACAGTAATCTTAAAAAAACAAATAGGAATATTTAGAGTAAGTTTTGCACAAACTTGCTGCTGAAATATTTTAGAAAATACATCCCCCCCCACTAATAACTAACCATAAATGCACCCGGAAATAGTTGGATTACGGACACTAAGATGACTTTAAGCCTGGTTAGGATTTGTATAATACCTGGTGTTGAGGTTGCAAAGGTCGCCAGAGATGCTAGTACTGTATAACAATGGATTAATGAATCCATCTATGTGGAACGCTGAGCGTTACCCCGTCATACCGCGGCAGTTTCCTCCGGGCTCTCTCCGGCTTCCACCCACACGAAGCCAAGCTCTCATTCACAGAATTGGGCCAAATATCCCATTGCGAGACACTCCTTAAAAAACGAGTCCTGAGACTATGTGAGGCTTTCCTGGGTAAAACCATCATCATTAATCCACTACGCGATGAAAGTTAAAATAAAGGGCAATTTTTTTTCAAATCTATTATTTTCATTCCTATTAGATGTTTAGTTATAATATGAATTGCACAGGTTATAAAAAAAAACGTGGCACAGCTTTTGATGTGGAGCTCTGGCAGATGGGACAAAAAAAAGAAACGAAGTGAGATGCGTGCCAGTGCATGTGGATGGAAATTAATTAAAAGGCTCGCCCGAGTTGCACAGAAAAAAATAATTGGCACCAAGGTTTGAAGTCTGTGATGGCGAATTTTATATTTTTTTATTTGCGTCTCTCAAACTGGCCTCGGTGTCATATCAATTATGATGCCATTATAGTCTTGGTTCTTTCGGTAAAGTCACGTAGAAGGGAAATAATAAAATAATATAAATATAAAACAAAAATTCTCACGACGTTTCGACTGCAACACAAGCAATCATCATCAGGTGTGAAATCCACAGCAAGAAAATCATAAAATAATATAAATATAAAACAATAAAAATTCTCACGATGTTTCGACTGCAACACAAGCAATCATCATCAGGTGTGAAATCCACAGCAAGAATTTTTTTAATTGTTTTATATTTATATTATTTCCCTTCTACGTGACTTTCCCGAAATAACCAAGAATACGAATCCCTGCATTCACGAAAGCTTTAAATAAAAATTTGTGAAGCCATTGTCAACATTATCGCCACGTGCCATCGTCATAATCTTCAGCCATGATCTACCCACTGCTGCATAAATGCCTCTGCGTGCTTGCTGTGCAACACTCTACATCAATCTGTCCCATCTAGCTCACCGCACACGAGCCGAGATTCATCGCCCAGTCTATCGCGACCCTCCACCGACAAACCGAGAGACCATTTAGATAGCAGAACTATTTCGATAGACAATAAAAAAAAACATCTCAACACGTTCATTCACAACACGGGCCTGAAACGATAAGCAATATATACGATAGGCAACGTTTCAGGCAAAGGGCCTTTTCCTCGTCGCAGAGAGACCAGGCATTTGTCCTCCAGCCCAAGAATTATTGACGAATGCAGAGTTTCTTGTGCATCACTGGCCGTTCAGTATCACGAAAATACGAATTTCATTGGAGACCTGGGACACAAACAAGATGAGGTGTATTTTACTCCATGCCCTTACCAGACTAAATATTTAGTGAACACAAAAAAACCACCCCCGTAAATGTTTGTTTAAAACGGCAAGCATCCTTGCCTAACTCAGTACACCAAACAGAAACGGAAACGTATTTTCATCTATCTCAGGATGAGTCGTTAAATGGATTTGTTTGTTTGTTTTAAGCCCGTAAAACGAAGGTAAAACAGAATACTCTTTCGAATACATACGTTTTACGAGTTAAATTTAGTCATAAAAGCCGTGACACAGCTGGCACGCGTTGTGAAATCTCAAGGGCTCGCGTTATCAGCTCTAACCAACCTCGACAAAAGCTGCCAAATTATTATAAATACGGCATCAAAGAGTCTGCGGGATGGAAGTTGCAGTGGTTGTGCAATGGTAAGCGAAACTGGACTCGCAATCCAGCGGTCACCGGTTCAACCGATTTGATCTCCTGCTGCCACACTCGAAGACATCGGCAAGATGAGTCGATTGGCAGGTGGCGTGTGGTGAGCTAAAGTGTGGTGGGTACTCCGACATCGTCCAAGATGTCCGGCCAGCGTGAAAGAGTAGGCCAAAGCACCTTCCAGAGGAGGCCCTTCCACCAGCAGTGACGTTGGCAAGTGATTGCAGGGCGGCACCTTTACCGATTAAGACACTTTTATCAAACAGTACCATCTCCAGGGGTAGAAACTCCTCATTGCCATGGCAGGGCCCAGTCTCCACACGGGTTAACCGCTGTTTACTGCCAATAAAGCGGTACTGATTTTATTGACCGCGCGAGAGATGATGGGTTGAGTTTGACCCCTGACCGGGATTTGAACTCGTGACGCCAAACAAAGAGTATGTCACACCATCATCATCATCACCAAGCATTATATATCCACTGTTGGATAAAGGACTCCACCCAAAGCCCTCACCATTTCTCATGGTCTCTTGATGCCATGATGGAATGTACAGCGACTCGATGCCCGATTCACAAAAAACGAATGAGGAGGCGTCGTCACCATCGTCACAGCGACGATTCACCACTTCGCTACTCCTGACACAGTCATCTGGCTCATCAACCACCTGAATGTAAGATCACTACAGCTGTTACTCTACAGCAGCGGTTCTTAACCATCACCGCAGCCTTGTGTAATGTTAATAAATACGGAGGGTTTTTATGAAACAAAGTAGTTGGACTCAAGTTCTCGCGCTTAATTTGCGTTTCGATTATTTACATTCTAAAAAAAAAATCTGCCTGTGTTTCGCACCAAAATGCCCTAACATCCACATCAGCCACACAAAGAAGATGTAGCAATTTAATTCCATCGAGCTCCTGCACACCAATCCGATCCGATTTCATCGCTTCATCTCCGTGGAGGATGCCCTGTTGGTGTGGCGGGGGAGGGGGCGGCGGGGGGGTTGGGTGCGCGTTCCCTTTTCCTTCCTTTGGGACTTGCCCGAGAGGATATCCGCTGTCCGAGGTGAGATGAAGCGAGGTGAGCGACCTCTCCTAAAACATTACAACCGTCTGGTCACACAGCTACTGCTCGCTGGCCACATTTTTACGCTCAACCCGCCTTCGTCCATGTCGTATATTGATGGCAGTAGTGGAGGTGGGGGGGAGAAAAGGAGCCGTGCATTTCTGCCAGGGCGGCTCAAAAAGGAGAACAAAAAATGAGTTAATCATTGGCGTCCCTTTGTAACCAAAGAGTACTTTGAGTTCTGAGATCAGCGCTTCGGCCACTGTGTTGTCTAAAAATACAGGGCCTCAGTCAGAGGCAAGAGACACGCTTTGCAAATCAAGGGGGGTATCCTTACTCGGGAATGGTTCCGGCGGTTAATGGTTTATTGTTTAGCTTGAAGACAGAATCTGTGAAGTTATTTCCCCCCCCTCCCGCCTCACCCACTTGATCACCCACACTTTATTCCGTGGTACGTGACCCACCGGTCAACTAACTCTGGCGTACCAATTATATAACTGCTGGGTGGACAAAGGCGGAGTGGTGGAAGGGGGGGGGGCGATATCAGAAAACTTGCTCCACTATACCAGCGTCTGCCCCTGGGAGATACAATCGTTCGCGGTGACTTCTGGATTGCAAGTCCAGTGCGCCGCTCACCGTTACCCCACGGCAGTGTGGGAGTGCTACTCTGCCGCCACGACGTTCAATCCACGCGACTGAGCCTGGCTGATCGTGCGCTTGCCGTGTATTTGAAGCTTCTGTCGTCGGAATAAACCACAATTTGTCATCTTTTTGAAGGTAAAAAAAAGAAAAGAAAAGCACCGACTCGAAAACAGCATGACGAACATTGCCCTAGGTATGCACACTGTGTTTTGAGTTTCCCAGTTGTGCCCATCCGAGGATATATCTTCACATCTGAGGCCAGCTATGCAAGTCTTCTAAATTGCGTCCTCATGAAAATGCAGGCGTACGTATGCCTGGAGGTAAACCGAGACAGACAGAAAAACAAAGACGTGGATAAGAGAAGAGACGCCGTTCAGAGACACCGTGTTGATCGTGAAGAAAAGTAAGTGGGCTTGTATGCATGTGTGCTGAACTTCTTTCGCACCGTACGTAGCCAACCGTGCTAATCGTAGTTGCGGGGAAGGACAACAAAGTAAACACAAGCAGCAGGCTTGGGCAGGACGCGTCCGC